ACTTAGATGTTGGTTTTGATGATTCTCCAAAAAATGTTGTGGTATCGTCAGATCTAATGACCCTTTTTGGCGTTGGAAGGTGAGTACAAAGTAGAGGTAGGGAGATGCTGGACTTAGATATTACTTTGTGAATCAAGCACAGACTGGGAGAGTCGATAACGAGAGAGCACAATCTTAAAATTTTTATTGAGTTGATTCTTTAACAAAGGTAAACATTAATATCATTGATTATGGAGTTGGTTATTTGGATTGTTTTTGTAGTTATATTAATCATGATGTTAGGTTAGCATATGAAAGATTTTATGTTGCTTGAATATTTTATCTATTTTTCTAATAGTGAGATTAGTCGGCGATCAATAATTACTTCATGGTGCAATTTTATTTATTCCACCGCATAAAACATATAATAAAATTTATTTAACTACTATTACGATTATAATCTTTATCCATTGGCAAGTTTATTTTGATCCATACACATCTTGATAATTATAATAACACAAAGGGGTTCTACCCTCACAGATCACTTTGAGTGTTCACAGTAGACATCGGCTTCAATTTGGATACTTTCTTTTACAAAATTGATAGTTCTTATTCTTAACGTGATCTGTGGTTCTAATATCATCTCAATAATAGTCATACTCCGTATTATATTATTATTATTATGAAAAATGCACGCAAATAATTTTTAAATCACTATTGAAAACAATCAGAAGAAGTAAAATAAAACTAGAAAGAGTAAGAAGAAATTTGAAAAGTTGGAAGAAGTTAGAAAAGTTGAATTAGAAGAAACTAAAAAGAGTTGGAAGAAACAAAGAGACATCGAAAAAACAAAATAAGTTCAAAAATAATAGAAGTTACAGGTGTATTTGGTAGTGAGACAATACGTTTCTAGATAAATATTTTAAAGGAAAATAATTTCCATAAAAAACTATTCTCCTCCATATTTTCTGTTGTTTAATAGGAAGTTTTTTTTTTCAAAAACATACAAATTCATTATTTGTTAAAAAAGTTTTTTTACATTAGTACATTGTTGATATTTGAATAAGGAACATAGATATTTAAGATAATTGTTAAATAATTTAGGGAGCATATTAGTTTTTTTAAACAGAATCGATACTAAATCTTTATAATAGCGCTTCATTATGTTTTCTGTGGGGTGGCCGGGGGTAGGAGGAGATTGGAGATGGGGGTGGATAGGGGTGTAAACGGATATTAATCGGATCGGACGTGCCATTACCAAATCCACATCCGTTTATTTTTGTCGGATATCGAATTCGGATACGGATCTTGACGGATACTGAAAATTAAAACCGTGTCCGCATCCGTCGAATATCGGTCAGATATCGAATATATCCGTATCCGCTTCCAATTTTTAAAATCAAATTAAAAAATACTTTATTTTTAAATTAGATTAAAGTCAAACTATTATTAAATCAACTATAATTTGTTATGAGATAATTATTTTCTTTGTTTTCATGATTTCTCATATTCTACAATAACTTTATATGATAAAAAGATATACACCGCACATATATACACATATTTTTATGTCTGTATATATTTTTATGTGTACACATTTATTTTGTATTTAAAAATGTCTTATATTTTGAAATATCAATAGAGAAACAAAATATAAACACAAAAATTAGGAAAAACTATATATATATATAACGGATCGGATATTCGGATAAACAATTATTTAAACGAATGCATATGCAGATCGGATTTTAAACGGATCGGATATACAATTACCAAATCCGTATCCGTTTAGTAATCGGATATCTTTAATCGGATACAGATAATATCCGTTTAAAACGGATGCGGATATTTCCTCTTTTAAACGGATGCGGATGCGGACGGTAATCGGATTTTCGGCTATCCGTTTACAGCCCTAGGGGTGGATGGGGGAATGAAATCGTGGAATGAGAGTATTTCAGGATTGAGTAAGAAAATTAACTTTCATCCAAAATAACCGAAAGTCATTTTCTCTTCTTAGAGAAAAATATTTATCCTAAAAAATGATTTCTACCAATTTGCAACCTAAACATGAAAAATTAGAATTAGATTTTTGTGGAAAAGTTTTATTTACACCAAGAAGGTCATAAGGGTAGGAATATAAAAAGAAGAACATTAAAAGGTTGAATTAAATATTTAGAAACGACAAAAATTATGTTCGCGTGCATAACACGGGTTAAAATATACTAAATATAATAGTGCAAATCTAACATTGCGGCTCAGAGGTTTTATCTGTACAAAGAGAATTAAAAGAGGAATTGAAATCAATAAAAATGGTAAGAATTAAATAAGCCATCAATTGCCAATTGTAAGAAAACAGACGGTAAGGATTAAAAAATGGTAAGAATTGAAGTACTACATTATTAAACTTAAAGGAGGAAATAATAAAAACGGTAAGAATTAAATAATCCTTCAATTGCCTATGGTAAGAAACTAAACCAAACAGTAAGAATTAAAAATTAGTAAGAATTAAATTATTACATTATTAAAATTAAAGAAGAAAATAAACAGTACATTTAAGTTTCCTTTCCGTGCAGTATACTTCAACTTTTGTAAAGAAACGTTAAAACACTCATATAATGATGATAAGAATTATATATTTTTTAAATATATATTTTATGTGATAAAATGGTAAGAATTTAAAAATGTTAACATTTTAAAGGGACAGTGATGATTTATTTTGGAAATAAATCAATAATTTTGTCATAATAATCAACCATTTTGTAATTTTACATTATAAAATTTATTTTCTTTTTCAAAATTATTATACTTCCGGTTTTATACAATGGACAACAAAAAACAGTGGTTTAAAAGTAAAAAAATTATAAAAAATTATTTCCTTTTCGGAAATAAATTATTTGTATAAATAGTCACTCATCCCGTGCCGTGGAGAAAATAGAGTGTTCTAAATAAAAATTAAAAATGTTAGAGTCACAAACAAATACATACTAACTCACAAAGTTCACAAATTTGTCTTTTGTACTAGTAGATGTTATTATTTAAGTGTACTTTATTTTTACTAAGAACTTAAAAAGACAAGTTTGTGATTTTTATAAACGGGTTGTTTGTGATTCTAGCACTACTTAAATAAAAAAGTAAATAAATAAATGTTAAATGAAGAATTATATTCCCTTTGTCCCAAAAAGTCTGTCCCGTTTCGTTTTTTGCACATCCTAAAAAACACTTCTACTCACATCTAAAATACCTACAATTTACCGCATTTACCCTTTACTATGGGTAGGAGGCATTTTGGAAGTTTTTTTGACATTTGAGACGATATAGAAATGTTTTATGAGATGCGCAAAAAATAAAATGACACAGACTTTTTGGGACGGAGTGAGTAATAGTTAGTGTAAAGCATAAAAGGTAACCAAAAGCCGTAGGGAACGTAAATATTTGCTCCACCTGTGCATTTCCATCATCTATTAATTTTTAGTTTCTACCCAAGTTTAAAAATAATTTCAATACTAACATTTTAAAATTCATTTCATATGTGGAATTGTCACAATTATTTAGATAGAAATAATATAATGTGTGATTCAACTTTAAAGATTATTTGTAAATCATAAAAGTGATCCAAATTTAAAATAACTGAAATTTTCAAATGCAATCAATAAAATTGATATATATTGCATTTCTTATTAAATGTATTTGTTTATAACTTCTAACCTAATGTAATTGTTCAAATTGGTAATTTGTAATCTAATTGATTTATAATATTATCAATTTAACGCAAAGTTCTTAGTTTGAAGTTTATATTTTTTAATTACTATATATTTGTATTTGGGCAAGTGATTAATGCATATTTTTACTTCATTACTTATTAAATACTACATAAATTTCATTTTGTATCTATTAGCTGTACTACTAATGTGGGGTTTTTTTTAGAGCGATAACAATGTAGTTCACAAAAAAATCAAACCTCAAATTTCTTTAAATTTTATATTTTGATTTAATATGCTATTTGTTGTTAATTTTACTTTTAAAATAATAAAGTGATTAAATAATTTCATATTAAAAATATTAACCGTGCAACGAACGGGAGTAATACTAGTAAGTTCAAAAATAATACTACCTCCGTCCCAGAGTATTTGTCCACTTTCATTTTTGCGCACCATCCAATACACTTGGTCTTGTAATTTGTATATTAAAAAATTATAGAAATTATATATTCATAATCTATATGTTAAGACAAATCAAACAAGATCACACATGACTATATTTAGGCTTACACATTGAGAGAATTTGATGAGTCAAAGTGCTTAAATGAACAGTTCTAAAAATCAAAACTGGACGAATACTCCGGGACGGAGGGAGTAGAAGTTACAGGTGTATTTGGTAGTGAGACAATACGTTTCTAGATAAATATTTTAAAGGAAAATAATTTCCATAAAAAACTATTCTCCTTCATATTTTCTGTTGTTTAATAGGAAGTTTTTTTTTTCAAAAACATACAAATTCATTATTTGTTAAAAAAGTATTTTTACATTAGTACATTGTTGATATTTGAATAAGGAACATAGATATTTAAGATAATTATTAAATAATTTAGGGAGCATATTAGTTTTTTTAAACACAATCGATACTAAATCTTTATAATAGCGCTTCATTATGTTTTCTGTGGGGTGGCCGGGGGTAGGAGGAGATTGGGGATGGGGTGGATGGGGGAATGAAATCGTGGAATGAGAATATTTGAGGATTGAGTAAGAAAATTTACTTTCATCCAAAATAACCGAAAGTCATTTTCTCTTAGAGAAAAATATTTATCCTAAAAAGTGATTTCTACCAATTTGCAACCTAAACATAAAAAAGTAGAATTAGATTTTTGTGGAAAAGTTTTATTTACAACAAGAAGATCATAAGGGTAGGAATATAAAAAGAAGAACATTAAAAGGTTGAATTAAATATTTAGAAACGACAAAAATTACGTTCGACGCGTGTATATCAGAGGTTAAAATATAAATATAAGAGTGCAAATCTAACATTGGCTTAGGGGTTTTAATGTACTCGTAAGAACTTTTAATGCGAGAAATACAAAAAAGCCATAATATACTCCCTCGAGAAACATGCCCTCCATGTTTCATCCAATCAAACACTCATACTCTTCAAGAAAATAAGGGAGAGAAAGAGAGGTCGGGCTAGGGTTTCGGGCGCTGAATTCAAATTGTAAATAAATCGAAGAAGAATTGGGGGTGGAGATGGATGTAGACGAGTTTGCTGGGAATGATGGCTGCGGAGGATCAGACTCAAAGTCAGAGTCCTGGAAATCGAAGCGTCTCCGTGGATCGACATCTGATAAAGCATCTTCAGGTTATTAATGTACACCATCAATGAGTGGCGTATTATATGTGTATAAGTTCATTTTCATTAAATTTGCTTTGTTTCAATTTTGTTGTGTAGAACGGATGATGAAGGTGTTAGCAGAGAAGGTATCTTTTCCAGCTGTATCCAAGGCTCGACTAAAACAGATTAAAGTTTCGATGTTGGTCTCCCTCTCCGACTCCTGGGATTCCCCTGACCCACATGTACTATTTCAGAGCTCAAACACAAGTTTGTGGGGGTTTACCTGTGCTCTGATTGTACAAGTTTAAGGAAGGTTCAGGAGGTTCACGAGCATTGTAGACAGCAAAAGTATGAGCTTGAGGTTGTGGTGGTGTGCTGTCCCTTTGATACGCAGGTGCCCCCAACGTTATTACACAAGCAGTTGGTCGAGAATGCTCTTGAGAGTTCCAAAAAGCTGTTAGGCTGGTGGTTCTTCCCCTTTGACAATACCGTATGCCTTAGGCTACGGCGAATGTGTGAAGTTGACAGTAACGGGAAAGTCTGTTCATAGTAGATCCTATAGAAAAGTATGTGGATCCCTTTGGATTACCAATCATTCGTGACTTCGGCATGGATTGTTATCCCTTCACCAGGAGGAATTTGGTTGAGAAGGAATTTCAAAGGATAATGGGACTGCGATTGAACTCATTACGTACTACTTCCTTGGACGTATGCCTCTGGCTCTATTGTTACCAATGACCGAACCCTTGATATTAATAAGGCATTTCTTGAGAACAAGATTGTTGTTCTTTATCTGTACAAAGAAAATGAAACATTCCTCGCAGATAAATTGGCTGCATGGTATAAAAAGATTAGTAAGAGAAAGCATTCAAGTGTTGTTGAGGTGGTTGCTGTGAGCATAGATGGGTGCAGCACTAGTGATGAATACTTCATGGATAAAGGGTGGTTTGTATGCCGTGCAGACCCATCCAATTCAGCTAAGCTTTGTGTAGAATACTTCCATCCTCTCTTTGGGCCACACGAGGCTGTTGTTGCATTTGGTGAAGATGGTGTTATTCAATCTATAGATGCTTCACATATTTTGGAATGTCAAGGTCCTCCATTCCATGGCAGTCTACGTGAAGAGATTTCTCAAGAATTTGAGTACGCGGGCTTTAATTATATGCGGCATTATGACTACAGTTCATTTATGAAGAAAGGTTTGCATGATAATTATATAATTTAATTAAATTATGTAATTTAGTTTTTTATAGCACTTATTTGGTTTAATTTAATTATTGTGGTGTATTTTTCAGATGCTGATGAGATGGAGGTGGAAAGGGATGTTGATGTGTTTACTATGCATGATGAGATTGGAGGATCAGACTTAGAGTCCAGTATTTCGAAGCGTCTCCGCCGATCGACATCTAATAAGGCATTGTCAGGTTATTAATTTTAACTATCAAACTGCCGTAATTGTGTGCAAGTTCAATTTAATGATTATTAACAAATGTTTTGCAGGGGTAACCAAAGCCAAGAAGAGACGAAATCGCAGAAGAAGACTTAAGGTATTAAGGGTAGATAATTGAAATCAGTACCATTACACCATTAAAACATTGAGCAAATTGATATAAATAACACAAACCTTTTGTTTACACAAATACGAATGATGTACATTTTTTACAACAATCCATAATGTCATTATATGACAATCCCAATTTAAGTAAGGTATGTGGCAATCGGGAATTTGCGTGGGGGGGGGTGTGGGGACAGTGGTGGGGAGCATAGAGCTGTAGTTGGATAATAATTATCAATTTTACAAAC